GGTGGGGGGTGGGGTATGGGGTGTTGAAGAGGATTGTCTGCCACACAAGAAAAGAAAAAGATAGTACCATAATAGAAGGGTAAAGTTTTTATCTTTTTTGCCCCACCTCTTTATTAATAGCACATTTGATTCTTTAGTTATTTATAAATTTTAATTTTAGTCTGTGTGTCACGTAAAAAATATTAGAGCAAAGTTGTTAGCCTGAAGAGCAAAGTGTAAATGAGGTTCGAGTTGATAAACAGGAGAATGTTGCAATACATCTGTATCGCCATTCTCCCTGGGGCTTAAGCATATTTAACGTTGAATTAATTAAAATATACTACTATAATTTTGGTTCATTAATGTTTCACAAATTTACCGGAATCATTAACCATTCAACTATTAATTATCATGTATTATGTTAAGTTTGTATTGTTACTTGAGGGCAATATAGCTCCCGTTTAGTCATAGATTTTAAAGTTGAAACTTAAAACTTGAGGGCAAAGTTGTGTTTGGACAATGTTTTTGTTTGGGGGAATGAAGTTTTTGAGTGGAAATGTTTAAAGATCAGATATCTAAAGATAATTTTTCAAAACTTTCAAAATCTAGGATCAAACGCTAACATAGTCTTAAAGATAGTCCAAATAATAGATTTTATGCTCAAGTATCTAAAACTAGACGTTTCAATGAATTAAAAGTTAAATATATTGAATCAAATTATACGATGATCAAAATAAAAATTTATCGACTATTATAATTTCTTGTTTTCTTTGTTAGAATTGCGTATGAACGTTAGAAATGAATCATCATATCATTTTCAAGGGTCCCGTGAGTGACAAGTATGTATTTTAATTTGTTGTAATTAGCCAATTAGTTGCTAAAATGGAACTGTGGGGCACGTAGCTAATTTTTTTATTTTTTTTTGTTTATTTGGTTAGAATTTAAAGTTTATTTGTGTGGACATTCTTTCATTGTTCACTCGTTTTCATTTTTTAATTATTAAGACGACTTGACTAGGAAATAAAAAGGGAAGTATAGAAGTCTATGATAAATAAAGTTGATTTGACATGTATCATATGATAATTTTTATAAAAAAGAAATAATTAATAGTTTATAACCAAGATTAATTTATGCAAATTGTGTAGTAAATTATTTTGGTTTGCCGGACATGATTAATGCAGAGATTAGCAATTTGAGGAAAAGGTAGTCTTTATTTAGCTTCTTTTCTCCATTCTTTAGGCCTTAAGTGGTGGAGAAAAAAAGTTCATTTTAGTCCATTTATTATAGTTTTAATTTTAAGTAAGAATAATTTACTCCTCCAAAGAGTAATTATACTGTAATTAATTCATATATGCATACATGATATATATTACTATTGACAAAATTTCATTCGAATGCCCATTTGGTAAAATAATACCATTCCTTATATTTCAATTTATTTATTTTACTTTTCTTTATAGTTCATTTTAACAAAAATATATTTTCCTCTTTGGCGATTCTTTAATTTCAACTATTCACATGATATGTTTAAAACTACAAGATTAAAAGTCAATTTGATACATACTACATATCTTTAGTTTAATTAAGACCACTGAAATAAAAAAATCCTCTTTTCTTTCTTAAACTCCTTAGTCTGCATCAACTATCGGTTAAAACTAGAAGAACAAATCGACAAAGACGGAGTAATTGTTCCCTTAGAAGATTTTGGGAGGTATGAGAGAAAAAAAATGAAGAATTATCCAAAAGAAATGAAGAATCTCTTATTTTTTTCTAATGGGAAATTTTCTTCTAAACGTGAATGTACTTGATTAACTAATGCTTTGATTCATACAAAATAGTCGATCTAACCATCACTCTGTTGGCTGTCAAAAAGTCTTGGATGACTTCTTCAGCACGGCAAAAATGGAATGCTTTAGCGTATACTCAATTCTAATGAAGTGTATTTACTATAAGTTGATACACTTTCCTAAAAGATATCATATTTTGAGTTGGTGGATTGTGGAGTGACATGGTAAATGCCATATTAAAGACGTGTTCTTAATTCAACAAATTTCTTCATTTTTTCAACTCTTAATCCCATAAAATAAACAAAAGGGTTGTGGGTGACAAAAATAGAGATAGGGATAGATTTAAGATTTATATTTAATAAGTTAAGTTTTCACAATACTTTATTATAAGTTCAAATTTTTAAATAACTTTTACACGTATGACGTAACTAATACAATATAGTTTGTCGAATATATGAGTTCAATTAAATTCATTAAATTGTGTTTCATCTGCCTTGAAATGAGAACGAATAGAAGGAGGAGGATTCTTTGGTGACATAGCAAGACAATAAGTGGCCCACACGTAGAAAACAAAGAAAAAATGACAACGTAATTTCAAAATTCTTAACCAAATTAATCCTATATTACAACAACGATAATCTTGTCATTTTATGCCAATATTTTGATATCGTTGTACCTGAACCGAAGATCTATCAAAATTTTATATTTCTATCTTTTTAAGGTATAAATAAAATGAAACTGTACACACACCATCAGACTCCATTATTATTATATAACGTTTAATATACCAAATTTAGAAAATTGATTGATCTTATTGTCGGACTAATTTCATTTGATTTATGGAATCCGATGTGCTTTCTACGTAAGTCCAAGATTAGTAAGTTTGTATTTGATTTATGGAATCTTATGTGATCAAATTAGTCTCGCTAATCACCATCAGTGTGGTCATCACGTATGAAAATAATTTATTCACAGTACCATATAAATTGACAATTTAACAATCATTTCCTTGATTAAATAAACAAAACCACTTCCTTATCCAAATAACCAAACCATAATAATTTTCTTCTTTTTTTTCCCCTTCAAAATTTTTAGTTCATCTTTTTCTTATCTTTAATACAAGTCAGGTTCACCAAATTGTTCACAACATTAAATTCTTACAAATATTCAAGTTTATATTCTTTTCGACAAATTAGACTTTCCCCTTGTCCTTTTGTTTAGATCTTTTCCCATCACCTTTTTGTTTTAGGTTTGAACTGAAACGAAATCAGTCGATAAAGTCATTTTGTTATTTTAGTTTCTAAGCTTCAGAACCTAAAAACAAACCCTCGAAAAAATAATTCGAAGAGATTTATGTACAAACCCATCTTATTGAATATTGATTGTGAAGCGAATACTGGAAATGTATAAGTTTACCAGGAAGTAATTGTACATCAATGTCCTAATTGTCCCAAGGAAATAACTCACAAGTATAACAGACTATTAGCAGACATTCTCACCAACGGCACTGAATATCATTAACCTAAGCCTCGATCTATCAAATGCGAGGATGACACCGTTTTTACCTTAAATTTATTACTATATTACATAAGAGACCGGTACATATATATTTACAGAAACCTCGCAGGAAGAGAGGACAGTTGAGAAGAATTTGGATATGATACAGTAAAACTAAAATGTAAATTACAACTTGACAATTTTTCAGCTGGTTTGGGATCCAAAATTTTCAATAGACTTCGATAACTATACATGACACACTTTTCCTCTGTCCCAAACCAGCTTGTCCAACAGATTAACTTCATATCCAGGCATCTGTAGTAAAACACAAATGTAAATACAAAACAAGCGATACTGTCGTGCCACCACATTCCAGAAACTAAAGCAACCCGGTCAAATGCAGAAAAGCTTTAACAATAACAAATGGTTCAGTAAACAACTCTAAGCGCAGGTACAACATTTCTATGACACTCTTTGACATCCTCTCCATTATTACCAACAAAATGGAAGACCTTGTTTGGAAATAAATTGAATGAACAAGAGTGGTTCATAGGATAGTCATTTTATAGTCACCAGTGTATACTGTCATGTATTAAATTCAACTCTAAACCCCTACCACCCAAGAGTAAAATCGTTGCTAAGCCATCTACCAGGTCATCTATAAATGACGCATAAGCATGGAATTTGCATCACTTAATTTAATACATACGGATGAAGAGTGTCCTATGAACTGCAAAAACTGTGTTACGAAGTGAGCACAATTACTATGTCCCTGTTTACACCGAAAAAGACCAAACAAGAATAATAGTATTTAGCATTAGAAACTACTCTTGATCTATATTAGTTTTGCATTAATGAGCGTCTTTAAATTGCCACACTTTTGACCCATTGAGCTTACTAAGCTGAAGACAAATGAGACACTATAACCATACGTATCTTCTCCCAGTTTAGCCTTGTGAACAAGATAGGATTTACTAGGTTATATTTTTCCTGTAAAATATAACTTCAACATCTCTTTGGAACATTTAGCCTAGTAATTGAACATTGGTCAAAGTCTCTAGTGATAAGTGAGAAAAATCAGGTAGTCCATGTAGTGCCTTTTTCTTTTCTTTACCCAGCAACAGGAGAGAGCATTTTGGGGGTGCAAGTCTTCGCTCCTTTGGGGTCGGTTCTTAGGGTGCATAAGAATATTACAAAATAAGGTGTATTAGTAATGCCGGGATTAATGTTGGGATTAGTTATGATGAAAATATTTCTTATCCAGTGTTTGGTTTGATGTATTACAAATAACATGTTATGCATGATTTAAAACAACTATTGTTTGATTACAAAAATACCCTCCATATTCTTAAGCATTGTATACTTTTGAGTGACTTCAAGGCAGTTCTGTCTTTAACCATGCCATCC